AGAATGGGCCAATAATTATTTAGGATGGGCTAAGCTTGCATGGATAGTCCATGGAGCTTTTAACCCATGAATCCTATGTAATGAAAGGTCATGGGTATTAGGGTTTACATGGAGGTAACCCTAATCCACCATACTATATAAAGAGGTCCTTGGCACTTGAAATTTGCACTAGAGTATGAACAAAGAGGGCATAGCCGATTTGGACAAGTGTATACTATTCTCTCAAGCTTTCCAAGTTGTTTTGGTGATTTGTGATTCCATTTGAGGCTTCCACACTATTGGGGCTAAGCTCTTAAAGGTTCAAGACTTCAAGCTCTATCAAAAGGTATGTCATCAAACTAGACTTTTGTAGTATAGTTGCTCCTTAATATGCTAGTTAGGATGATGCTTTGGAATTTTGTATATTTGCATGTATAATAGTGAAAACATAGATCCAATGCACATAGGGTTGCATGCACACCATAGGAGTGTTAGAATGTTCAAAACCTATCATAGATGACAACCACCAGACTATTTGATGACAATCCACGTGGAACACAGGCAGTGATGGACTTCGTGCCTATTTGATGTACTCTACCCCATGTATTGCAGAGAAATCCCTGTAACAGTACTGTTTGCAACGATGATTAAAATAATCCTTAGGACAGATCCTTAGGAATGACCATAGAAAGAAGCCTACTGACATGTATTGCGGAGAAATCCATATAACAATACTGTCAGCAATGATGACTAAGATAACCCTTAAGATAAAACCTTAGGGAAGAATAAAGAAGAAAACATGGATGCGTAATCGGGTTAATTGTTTGATAATTAAACATATTAACTATATTATTGTGGGTTGAAAACCCTATGTACTCACCAGGTTTCCCAACCTGACCCACTCAGTTTCTTTGTATCACAGGTAGTGGTACAAAGGTACATGCATGATGAGATATTCAAGGAGATGTAGACTGTTAGTCTAAGATATTGTAAGGTCTGTTTATGCTTATGTTTTGTATCAGTTATGACTGATGAGTTTTGAGCACTATAACATCCCTATGGTGCACATACAACCCTAATGCTTTGGATCTAAGTTTTCTCTAGTTGTACATGCAATTTTTTCATTTTTCCAAAGCATGAAGCCTATCTAGCATACAACTTAATATTTGAACCATAAAAACTAGTTAGAGTAATACCTCTTGTTGTAGCTTGTTGAACTTGGCCTTTCAAGAGCTTAGCACCTCAAATGTGATGCATCTAATAAGTTACAAACACCACCAACAATTGAAGGACAATGAGAGAAAGCTTGGAGGCACCAAATCGGCTATGGCTTCTTCTTGGAATACACATGTGTCGATTTTAGGGCTTAGGGGCTACATTTATAGTGTAGAATTTCAAGGGTCACTTGTAAACCCTAATCCATACACTTAGGCTTATGATCCAATAACTCATTTGGACTAACACTTCATGGACTTTCACATAATCTTAGTCCATCACAAATCAATCATGGATCATTAGCTCAAACTTAATGTATCACTGATTTACATAATCAGTCCCCATTAATTTAATTAGTCTCTTTTGATCACTAAATTAATTTCAAATTAATTCTTGATCAATACTAATTAAATAATATGATTTCTCAATTAATATATTATACTTATAATATATTAATAAATCATGAATAACCTCTTTCTCAAATATCTATCCTATCAAATTGTTCTGGTGAATGCAACCCAAAAGGACCATGTTATATCGGGTGAAGTACATACCTATTATAGTTATGGGCAAGACACCTAATCCAACAATGACATCCCAAGCTTTTATAAATCAATGAAAAACATTTCTTCGGAAATACTTTTACAGGACCAAATTCCGCATTTATAAATAAATGTTGTTTTAAATAAGCGTAAATAAACAATTTTAAAATGGCCGTAAAAATGGGGATGTCACTATTTGCATCCCTCCTAATAGCTAATAGATCTTATCCTCTAACTATACCCTTTAAAAAGCAACCATCAAGCCCAATTATAGGCCTGCACCCTTCTATCTAACCATTCCTTATAGCTTTAAAACACACATAATACTTGGAAAACAAAGTTGTGGATTCTAGCATGAGGTCCACATCCAACCTCACAGTAGACCCAAGATTTGTCCTCAAAATTTCCTGATCATAGGCCACAGTCTCCCATAATGCTCAATAAGACTTCCTTCAATCTCTTGTAATGCATATTTCTTTGCATTTCTACATTGTCCCAAACTCACATTTATGTTGAAGTTTGTGGACACGTTAGCTTTCATCTTCATTAAACTCATTTTGGCTTCTCTATATTTCACTCATAAAATGTTTGCCTATCCATTTATAAGTTACTATTGACCCAAACTTAAACACCCTAATCGAGTTTACGGACCAAATGTGATTTTGAAGTCTATTTTAATGAGGGGCAATCCACGTCATTTCCACGTAATGATTCTTTTCTACGTATTAAAATACAAACATGTGAAACCGTCTATAACCGATCATATTAGTATCATGTACACGTTTCAATAAATAGAAGGGTTAATACATGAAAAATAATTTAAGGACCAAATGTGAACAAAAAACATAAATAGAAAGGTTAATAGAGGAAAAATAATTTAATGATCAAATGTGAACAAAAACTAACATACGTTATCCTTTCAAGTCATTATCCCAATAAAATAAAGGGGCAATTACTAATCTAGCCAAATTAAGGAAGTGATTAGCAATTTTTAGCCAAAAATTAGTAAATGTCCAAATATAGCCCACGAAACAGTAGGTTTATATATTCGTCTACTGTTTCGTCAATTCGTTTACTGTTTCGTGTTTTGTATAATTTTTTTTTTTCATTTCTAAGATACAAAATCGTAGGTTTTTTAAAACCTACGGTTTCCTCTCGTTTTAGCTACGGTTTTGGGAAAAAATACGTTTATTTTTATTTTTATTTTTAAAGTCTACTGTTTTGGGGTTTAATCTACTGTTTTGTCAAAAAAGCTACGGTTTTATTATTATTATTATTATTTTTTGTGATATAGAGTATTAAAAAGAGTGTTTATAAGATGTATAATTATTTTAACAATTATTTTGTATCTTAGAAATGAAAAAAAAATTATACAAAACACGAAACAGTAGACGAATTGGCGAAACAGTAGACGAATTACCACAAAAGAGTAGTCAACTGCTGTTGACCGTAGTCAACTATAGGTTGACTATTCTTTTGTGAGCTATTTTTGGCTAATAAGTTTTTTTTTTTGCTATTATTTAATAAGTAGTTAGCAATTATGGCTAGATTTGTAATTTCCCTTGAAATAAATAGAAACAATCGAGTGAAAAAATAGTTAGTTTTGGAAAAAGGACCAAATATGTAGATTTTCCTTAAACAAAATGAAAGGAATAGTCGGGAAAATAAACCAATCCATTCCCTACCAAGATTCGTTCGCATATTGGTTTCCTTCGTCTCCAGGCGATCATGATTTCTATGATAAATTAGGTTGTCAAAAAATTTATTCTGTTGAAGCCTTCAAGCCCTGATCGATAGTGACCATGAGCATTTGATTTCCCTTTTTGCGGATTTTCACTATAGATTAGCAGTTGAAACTTCCTCAACTTGTTTGTTCGTGTTTGAATCCACTGATTTACGGATTTTCATGATCGTCTCTCTGTTTCAATTTCTGTATTGTGAACTGGTAAGTGTTGCATGTTTAATTACGATGTTCCATTGATTCCGATAAAGTTGATAGTTGAATATCTCTGCTGTGGTTTCTGTTTAGTAGAACCAGTTTGTAGAGGGGATTCGTGAAGTTGAACAAAATTTAGGTTTTACTCTGCTTCCAATCTATTTTTATTCGCATAATTAGTCAATTAGCATTTTCGTGGAGCTGTGAATAACATCATCATAGGGTTTTCAGTCGAATCATGAAGTCTTTAAGATCAGTCATTTTGAAATTTTAGATATTACAGTAGCTTGGCTTGATCTTCCTGTTCTATTTAGCATTATACCATGGTGTGTATAGATCAGTAAGTTGTTAATAAGTATAGATTTTGACATAACTTACAGGTATTATATTAGCCAAGGAAATTGCTTTGTATGAATTGCTTATTGCTGTATACAACCCTCAAATTTTAGGAAAGGAAGATAGTTGTCCATCTCCATGCCCCCCTTTATCCATTATAATAACAATTGGGTTTAGTATTCTTTGAATGGTTTTATTTGATAAAAGTAGTTGCATTTAAAATACAACAATCCCTCATATAAGGGGCATTATAGGTATCTTATTGCTAGTCAAAGGCATTCATTGATGTTATTATTAGTTTGATTTTTGTGTGTCATAGATGATATCTATTGATTTGATGTTATTCATGTCAATGACAAAATTGAAAATCCCTTTGCAATTTTAGTATCTTTTAGGTAATTGTTTATTTTTGTTATTTCTCTAATTTTTTGAAAGTAGTTGACCATTTTAGGACCACAACATTTGTGTTCATATCAAATTCTGAATTAAATATTTTTCAGGAGAAAAACATTGATAGAGTGGGCTTCTTTTCATTTTCTTTTGATATTTATCTGTAGTTAAGACATTTCTGCAACGTTTTTACCAAAATGCCCCCAACAAAAAAAGGTAAAGCTAAAGCCAAGTCAACAGAGTCAACACCTCCATCACCTTCTACAACCAAATTCCCTGGATGCATGCGATTTATCCCCCCTTCATCTGTAGCTGTCACCATACATGCCAAACCTGGTTCAAAAGTTGCAACCATTACAGGTCTTTTTCTACTTAAGGTTGAATACAAGAAATAATAGCATAGCATCCTACTTCCCATTTCTTCTTATTACAACATTCTACTTTGCAAAACCTACTCAATTATAGCAATGTCATTCAGTTACAAAACAACTTTCATTGCTATAATTGGAATGATTTGTTTAAATTATAATGTCCTAATTATCAAAAGGCTGAAACTACAATGCTATAAATGAGTAGATTTTCAAAGGATAAGAAAAAAGTGATATCACAATCGTGTAATAGAAAAAAAAAGTAAAATAAAACTAGGAGGCTATAATAAAGAAATAAATGAAAGTACATTGCTATTTCTTGCAAACAATTCTTTTTATCTCTTTAGTCTACTAATCTTTGTTGCATGTATTGGAAATATATATATATATATATATATAGATTTTGATGATGATGGTTTAGGAGTACAAATTGATGCACCTGCAAAGGATGGTGAAGCCAATGCTGCACTCCTTGATTTTATAAGCTCGGTAATCCTTTTTCCACAACTTTTGAGTTAAGAAATAGCAACATACTTTCAAATATATGTTTATTATATTTATAGCATATCACTTTCAAAATCCCTCAGGGTTATTTATTTCTCACTATTTAGTATATATAGACTCAAGTTATATTTGTTGCCATTTATATATGATATAGGTTATAGGGGTAAAAAAGAGGCAAGTTTCATTGGGTGCTGGGTCGAAATCAAGGGACAAGGTTCTGATAGTTGAAGGTGTATCACTAGAGGCAGTGTATAATGCTCTCGATACAGAATTACATAATCCCTAATCAACAAAATGACATTTGTTTTTTTAATCAGCATGTCACCCCAAGATTGAAGCATGTGGGATTCGAACCATGTCATCAAAATGACTTTTATTTGTATTGTTGGGATCACTTGAGAAAACAAATTTATGATGAACCTATGTTGAGATGGCAAAAGATGATGAAGTAGTCTATTAATTGTATTAGATAATAATGAAGTGCACAATAACATGTTTCAAAATAATATATGGATACAAAGATAACCAGGGGAAAATACGGAAACCACCATTAGTTATGGGTATGTACAAAAGTAACCCCAAATAATACATAATTACCAAAGCATACTCTTAACACACATACGACCCTCCTCTTTTGTACATCCGGCCATCTATCTAGGAAACAATAGTGTTATCATGTATTCATCATCCAACGATGAAACAGAGTTAAGTAAACTGTTACTTTCTTCGGTGAAAAAGGCTGGTTGTTTAGGTGGAGACAATACACCATCACTAATCAACATAAGAACCACTGATAACATAGTCGGCCTATCTTCTGCATGATGTTGCACACACAATAATCCAATATGTATTGATCGTTGTATTTCACACATGAGTTACGTAAAGACACACTCATGAGTTCAATGGACTTGCCTTCCTTATAGAGTCTCCATGCCTGATCCAAACCCATCATAGATCATATAAGTATGTCAAAGCCCAAAGGGTGATCTTAGTTTTACATCTATCGTTTTTATTCTACCTGATTAACTTACATGTCCAAGAAGGTTGTCACTACGAGCCTCGTGAGAGAATTCTCTGTTTTTCTTCCCACTTACTATCTCTAGCACAAGAACACCAAAACTAAATACATCTGACTTTATTGAGAAACGGCCGTGTATTGCATACTCTGGAGAAATGTATCCACTGCACCCAAGTTCAGTTCATAAACACATTATTGCTAGGATTTTGTGTCTACTTTATTTGAAAACTTCCCATTTTCATTGGAAGGAAATGCTAAAATGTTTTATAGATTCTTACTGTGTTCCAACCACCTTCTTTGTCTTAGCTGTGGCATCCTCTCCTACAAACTTTCTTGCAAGCCCAAAATCAGATATTTTTGGATTCATTTGGTTGTCCAACAATATATTACCTGCCTTGAGATCTCTATGGATGATTTGGAGGCGGGAATCTTGATGTAAATAAAGAATACCTCGTGCCATACCATGGATAATGTTAAAGCGTTGAGGCCAATCAAGCATTGAACTTCTAGTTTCATCTGCTCAATATGAACTACTTAGTCAATGCAAGTCGACTACAAATGTGTAAATGTAAGAAATTAGAGAGGATCAAACCAAATAGAAATGAGTCCAAGCTTTTGTTATGCATGTATTCATAAATTAGAATCTTTTCATTACCATGAATGCAATATCCAAGGAGCTTCACAAGATTCCGATGCTGAAGTTTGGCGATACAAATGACTTCATTCCGGAACTCTTCGTATCCTTGTTGGGATGTTTTTGAGAGCCGCTTTACAGCTACTACTTTTCCGTCTTCCAACACACCCTAATTAAAAGTTATATTTATATATTGGAGCTTGTGATTAAAAAATTCCTCAAGTATTACCTTTTATTCAGAAAACATCAATATGTTACCTTGTAAACTGGACCAAAACCACCTTCTCCAATCTTATTGTTAATGCTAAAGTTATTAGTAGCCTTTGCTATTCTATACAGGCTGAAAAAAGGTAATTCATCAAAGTTTTCC